TTTTTTTTTTTTTTTTTAGTACAGTTCTCAGTGGTGTGGACCTTGGATAGTTGAACAGGAATTTTCTGCTACCCGATTGCTAAGAAACCTCACTGCTCACAGACGCATTCTCTTCGTGCAAGCAAGGCATACGATCAGGTGTAAATGCAAAAATATCCTGTGCGATGAAAGTTTGAAATTTAACTCTGTCACCAATAAGGCAGAGAGGTTAAAAATAGCCACTCAATGCAATAAACAAATGCGTGTCCTTAATGCCTTCCTTATGCTCCGACGTTACACATACAAAGGCGTGCATGCCTACAGAACGACGAGAAAGAAGACAATGCTATCTCTCCAAAACATGACTGACCTGGGTCGCTCTGGTTTTCTCAAAGCACCAACCTCTATCAGGTGAAGCAGGATGGTGCAAACAGAGACAACCTAACAAAACTCCCTTAAAAGTTACATAAACAAAGAGGGGAGCAACCCAGTACGGGCTTTGCACCCATGTGCTACTAAAATTACATAACACTCGGTGCAGACGTTGAATAAGGAATGGATTCGACACAACCCCCCCCCCCCCCCCCCCCCCCCGCCCCGACTCCTTTCCCATAAAACATCCAAATGCCTGACAAGAGCGAACCGATGATTCGGAATATTTATTTTCTTGCTGAAGTAAATCCTGGGGGACTTGGAGGCACGTTTAGGCCCGAAGTTTGTGCAAAAACCGCAGGACGCCAAGATTCACACTCTCAGGACCTGGAGAAGAAAGAACTGACAAGCGACAGCAGCCCAGCGAGGCCTTCTCCCCGCTCGCGGTGCCTCCTGCTGGAAAGTTTTCCACGCAATCGATCGGAGGACGAGACGCCCTCTCCCCCCGCCGGCCTGACTTTGCAGGAAAGGCGAGCCGGAGCCCGGAGGGGGCCGGCAGGGAAAGAGCTAGAAGGCTCCGCGCACGGCGGGAGGCGGCGGCGCAGGCTCCTTACCTGGGGGACGCGGGACAGAAAGGGCGCTGGCCCGGCGGGGCGCGGCAGGGAGTGGGTCTGCACACCCGACCTAGGCCAGCGTCCGAGCCCGCGGCCCGGCCCCCGCCGCCGCTTCCTCCCTCGCGCGCGTCATGTCACGGCGATCAAACATGTCTGTGTGCGCTCCGCCGTTGTGACTTCCTGATTCTCCGCCGCTCGCGCGAGCACACACACTCCCAGCCGCACGCACACGCCGCCCCCGCCGGGCCTCGCCACAGAGCCTGGCAGTGTCCTCCCGGGGCTCCCGGGAAGGGCGCGGGCGCGGGCCGCTGCCAGCGCTGCTCCCGACGCGCGGGTCCCAGCGCGCACAGCACTCTCGCGCAGCCGGAGGGCACCGAGCCGCCGCGGAGCTCGCCGCCCGTTCCCACCCCTCCACCCCACTTCGCGGCCTTGCCAAACTTTTTTTTTCTGCCTGACCCACGTCCAACTTCCCTCCACACACCCCCGCCCCCCAGCAGCCGGGCGCTCACCACCATCCGCAGCAAAGGCAACCCGGATAAAAATAATGCGATCCAGGCGGCGGAGGCGGGGGAGAGCGCAGACACTGGCGGGAGGCGATTTCCCCGCGTGTACCGGAAACCGGCCCGAGTGCCCGGGCCAGGGCGCGGGTGTCCCCTGGAGTCCGCACCGCTGCGCCCCGCCCCGCGAGTGCAACTGCATCCAGGCTGCGAGGTCTGGGGCACCCCCGTGGAACCCCCGGGGCACCCCAGTGGCACTGTGCTCGGTGTGCACCCCGTGGCCAGAGGGCGCCGAGGGCTGGCGCGCTGGACCGGTTATTTGTGGAAATGCATCGCGACACCTTTGCAGATGGCATGGCCGTGTTTTGTAACGCGAACCGGAGGGAAGGTGGCAGGGTAGGGAGAGAGAGCAGGGGAAGGGGTAAACCAGATTGGGATGGGAATAAAGCAAACTCGAAAGCTAGGTGAGAGGGAAGGGGTGCGTGTCATCGTCGGGGGGAGGCTCCCGCTTGGTCTCCCCGCCTCCCGCCCTCGCTAACCCCCATCCCCTCGCCACCGCAGCCCTCCCTCTTCCCCTTCGCCTGCGAACGCCACCGCCGCTGCCCGGGCGCGCGCGGGTCCTGTTTGTGACAGTCAGGCAGAGAGGATTATCCGGATCATGGCCTCCCGGCCGGCCCGCAATCACTAGGGCTCTCCTGGGTCCCAGCGCGCCCCTAGCACCCACACGGTGGCGGGCGCCCCACGGCCGCAGCTACCGGGCGCAGGCAGGGGAGGACTCGAAGCAAAAGAAAACAAACCCGGAGAGGGGAGGGCAGGGCAGGGCAGTGCAGGGCAGGGGAGCCCAGCGGGCACCTCCGACCTCTTTCCCCGGCCGCCTCCCACTGCTGCGTCCGGAGCCCGACACCCCGAACTTTGACACCCGCGCTGTCACCCGTGAACAGAGACAGAGACGCCGGGGACTCAGCCCCCGGGACAACCCCGGTACATAAAGGCCCGCCCAGCAGTCAGCGTGCCCCTGCCCGCCCAGGGGACGCGGAGAGTGGAGGTGACACCTCCGATCCTACACACGCGGGCCCCGCGATAGACCGCCACCGCCTCGGCGCGCCAGCTAGGCTCCGACTCTCCCGCAGCGATCCGCTCGCGTCCCTGCAGCCGAGCCCGTTAAACAGGTCCCCGGGAAGCGGGTGGCAGCCGCGTTCCTTGGCGCCCGGCCGCCCGCCCGGGCTTCTCGCCCTGCTTTCCCGTTCTCCTTCCAACTCTTCCGGGAGGACGTCTCGGGATGAACTGTCGCGCTTCCATTCTCCTCCCGGGTCCCCAGCCCTTTCTCCCCCCACACCCCGCTGCCACCCGCCCTCCCCACTTGGGCTTATTTAAGGGGGCTGGGGGTGCAACCTGGCGAAGCGTGTGTTGCAACCTCGAGTTGGCAGCGCACCGCTGCCTCCCCAGGGGCAAGGCTGTGGTTTTCTGGGATCCCTCCCCCTACCCCCCTTGAAGTAGTAATTATTACTGTCATTATTAGAACTGCGAGGGTCGGTGCAAACTTTGCGGTTTCTTCCAGCGGCGCCCGGGAGCTGTCTTTAGAGCCTTCCACCTGAGGCCGGCGGGGAGGAGGCGGGCTTTGTTGTGGTGGTGGTGGTTGTGGTTGTTGTGGTGCTGGCGGCTGTTGGCCCGCCTGTTTGTTTTGGTCTCCGTGCATGCACAATAAATAATAATTAGGGGAATAACGAATAATCCCCGCGCAGGCGGGCGGGCCGGGGGTTCCTGCCGCGGCTGCAGCGGCGAGGCCGCAGGGAGGGAGAGAGGAGAAGGGAGTTGTAAGTTATATTTACCTTGCTCGCGAGCAGTGTGCTGGCTGAATCTCTTCCCTCTCTGAGTCACCCAGAGTACAGAAACAGAGGGAGAGAGACTAGATTATGAATATGACTTCATTGATGACAGCCGTCCCCTCCTCTTCCTAAACTCGGCTCCGCCCCGCGTCCCGCCCCCGCGGCCTCCAAGGGCGCCGGAAGCCGCGCCGCAGTTGGCCAAGCGCGCCGCCCCTCCCCGCCCTCCCGGGCGCGGGTTGGTGGGACGCGCCTGTCACTCGCCGGGCCCAGCGACTCCCGGGGCGCGGGCCGTGGGGCGGGCGCAGGGGGTGTGCGAGAATTTGCAGCGCGGCGGCCAGGCTGCGTGCGTGGATCTGCGTGCGGCTGCGAGGCGCCGGCTCCGGGCAGCCTTTGCGCCCCGAGGGGGGCAGCTGCGCAGGACGCGGCGGGACCCGAACCCCGCTCTCCTGGGAGCCCCGGTGGTCTCCTTCCTGGGGCGCTGTGGGGCGATCGGGGAGGTTGGGCGGAGGAGACAGCCGGCGCAGCTTGAGGGAAGGCAGCCGTAGTAATAGCTCGTAGTAGTTTGGGGAGACGTGGAGAAGGTGCTGGAATTTAGCGGTGCCTCCGCCTGCCACTGCGAGCTAGCAGAGAGAGGGAGGGGACGCCGAGGCCGGGGGGGTGGGGGGGCGCACCCGAGCTGTCTGTGGCACGCTGTGGACTAGGAGAAAAACGGGCTCTATCAGGCCAGCTGAAACTTTTTCGCCGCCCCCTTCCCCCAACGCTGTCATTATAAATCTGCCTCCTCCCCTCCACCCCATAAAAAGGGAGGCGGGCACAAAGAACATTCCTGCCAAATCTGCCTCCTCTCTGAAGGACTGAGCTTTCAAATGCCAGTGCAAGAGAAACAGCTGAGAGGACGAGCGTCTTATAAATAAATAAACCCGCCCTGACTCTTCTGTTTATTTTGTGGACTAGACACTGAACTTTAACCTTCACTCACCTGTCATCTCGGGTAAAATATGTACAAAATATGGAAAAAAACAGTCTCGTGGGGGCAGGGCGGGGGGTGAGGGAGTCACTGAGACATGAGATCTGCTTTTGATTTAAGAAGAAAATAAATCTTATATTCCCCACAGGTTATAGTCTCTTCTCTCTCCCCCTGCATTTAAGACCAATTAAGGATGCAAACTAATCTGTCAGCAGGTCGTGGTTTTGAGACTTCAGTTTTTCTTGAAATACAGTACATTGATTGGGCCCAAAGGTCAGTGTTTGGTGAGACAATTTTATATTTAGTTTTATGAAGTGTGAAAGAAAGGTAGGAGATTTTAAATCAGGGACCTATTATTTTAGATTCAGATTAATGTAGGTGCTTGACTCTTAAAATTGTTCCTGCATGGTAGTGTTATGAAAAGTATGATTTATCCCTTATTTTGAAATGTAATGGCTTAAATTAGTAATTCAAAGCGCAGTGTGACTACTGGTTGAGGATTTCCCCCCCAAAAGTAAAATTCTATTTTAAGACCACGTTTGTACTTTTGCAGAATTGACAACAGGAGCCTGGGGTGGGCCTACAGCTGCCGGCCAGGTAAATGGAAGACCAGAGACAATTCAAAGAGTGTGATCCTTAACAATTGTTTACAGCACCCACCCATAGGGCACCTCTTTCACCATGATTATGATAGTTAAGGATCACCCACCCTACAGCTTCCTAAGGCTTTGTTACTGGCTTCATTACCTTCAGTGTTTTCTGTCTCTCAAAGTGAACCTCAAGACAACAAAAAATAACACACCTAAAGAAATAAACTGTAGTATACTGTGAAGAATCTGTTGTAAAATCCTGCTTTTCCTGCCTGAGGATATGCCAGTATAACTTTAACTGGAAAATATATAGTGAGAAATTATAAACAAAATTAGTTTAGTGAATATATAACACAAATACTAGCTTCTAACTGCCTAATAAATTGTTGCTAATAATATAGCCAGAAATCTAGTTGTCTGTAATAAGGGCCTTTAACCTAATGACAATGTTTATTTCACTAATAAGTGTTAGGTTTTAATTTTTGAGGGCCTCGTCTGTGTTTCTAGCGTGGCAAACTCACCTGACAAATTTTTAAATTGATAATTTCACCTTTGTTTCCTCATAAATAAGTGTCCTTTAGTCCCTGCACCTGATATGCTAAACTCCAGAAAGAATAATCTTTATAAGTAAGAAGAGACTATTCACTCCTCTTGGCATTTTATCAGAGTGAAAGTAGAAGAAACATTTCCTTTGCTAAAGAATGTGTACGTTCTTTAGCTCATATAAAATTTTGATGCAGTACTTGGAAGAGTTGGTATCTACACATTATATATACAACTATGGGAATGAAAAAATCTACCACTGAGAGCAGAGATTAAATATAGATACTGCATCTGCCTTGCACGTCACATTGGTCTAAGAATGCCTCACCCCATTCAAGTCTTTCCTCTGAAGAATCATCTTGTTTGTAGCCTATACTGCCGCAAGTAGAACTTTTATAAAATAAGTCTAAACTCAGGAGAAATGAAAAGGCAGCACCATTAGCTCCGTCTGGAAAGAAAAGTGTAGAACATATAGCATGCGCACCATCTCGGAAGTAAAGCAGAATTCAACAATTGGAGCTAAGGAAGAAAATGTTGGGTTCTTTTGTTTTGCAGAAAACCACACAAAAGCAAATATGGTTGGAGGCTGAGAGGACTGCAGGAGGCCCACAGACTGCTCTGTTCCCTTGAAGCTTTTCTTTTTGGACTTTGATGAGTCATAATATGTTCTCTGAACTTGCTCTTCTCTTTCTAGTTTTGTATCAAGGGGTGAAGGTGGCTTTTTTGTGTCTCCAGGACCATTTCTTTTGCTTGTTATGTAAGTTTTCTTTGGTTGACACTATACAGAATAGATACTGTGCTTGAAAATTGATATCTAGCTATAAAACCCTCATGAAGAAAAATCCTATGCCTAAAGTTAGAGAGTATCAAATCTGAACAGACAACTGTTAAAGCAGACTATAATGTTGCCAGGCTTCAAACAGGGGGCACGTTAAGACCGCTTAGGGGAGTAGTTCATCTGCAAGAATGGGAGCTAAACTTTGACAAATTAAATTGGCTAACATTTAATTTAGTAAAGAGTTTAGAATTAGCAAGTAAATTTATCATAGGAATAAACACTCATTTCTTTGTTTTTTGTCCCAGTGAATATTTCCAATAAATTTTGGTCCCCACAATGATTCCTCCAAAATATTACCCTGGCTCTCTCTGTGATTGTGGTAGATGGCTAACTGCTGGTCAACTTGTTACACCCAGCTGAATTAACTAGCATGGTGCTGGGTGAGGGAGGCCCACCTGAGGGTTGTTGCCAGCAGCACAAAGGCAGAACAGGAGAAGCTGCCAAAACAGTTAGGGATGCTGTTTGGGGAGGCTGTTGGAAGCTGCTGGTTCTCTTGGGCTATTCTGCTGGAGGACCTTGTCATGCTGATGGACTTTGGGGGAGCTCTGGTCCTCACCTTGAGCATCACTTTCTGGCTGTGGAGGGGAAGATAGTGCGTTGCTCAGCCTCATGGAGAAGCTTGTCAGGTTGGCTTTCCTGATAGGAACTCAGCTTCCCTCATCGCTGGAGGAGCTGTGGACCTCACTGTTGCTGAGGATGGCTGAGGGACTTTTGGGGGAACTC